TCAGATTTTCCTGAGAACTTTTTTTTTTTTTTTTTTTTTTTTTTTGCGCTAGGTCGGACAACTGTTCAGTCGGACGTCCGACCAGACGTCCGGTCGGACATCCCGGACGGTCAGGGGGGTCCCGGACGTCCGATACAACAACCTAGGAAAAAGAGTGATATTCACTGTTGGTATTTTATCCTCTTTTCCTTGTCCGTGACAATTCTCTGTTCGTAGACTACTGTGCGGCCTATATCCTCGTCATCCTCTCATAAAAAAAAAAAAAAAAAAAAAAAAAAAAATGTGTTGCAATACCAGTGCAAAGGAGAGGTGTATAGAAGTAGTGGGGCAGCCTTGAATATTGTTCTTTCTTTCTTTCTTTCTTCCTTTCGTTCCTTTTTTTTTTTTTTTGGAGTCCATCTGGTGTTGTAGAGGCCAGTCACTGTGTACACAGTGATCACCTGGAGCAGTGGGCCGTGGGTGTCCTGGAACATGAGACCATTAGCAAAGAGGATTGCTTTGAACGCCTGAATCTGGCCGCGTTTGTGGACAAGTGCAGAAAATCGAGATTGAACTCTTTTTCTGCATCTCTGCCTAAAACACGCCCAGATTCAGGATCATAATCCTATCCCCGTTGCTAGTGGGAATATGAGACCAACTCCCATCCCATCCGCACGTCAATACTCCTGGTGGAAGCGGGGGGGAAACAAAAAAAAATGGGAAGCTCAGGGTAGATACTAGATAGGCGTAGTGAACTACCCCACGTTATGCACGCCCGAGCCTACATAGCTCGTGGTAGCTAGGCTATGCCAAAGACTCTTTGCCTCTCTTTTTTTTTTTTTTCTTTTTTTTTTAAGCTGTCGTCTCCTCATCGGGGGACAGCTATGTATATTACCTCTCACCTATCATTTTGGTCAGGTAGCTGTAATTTTTATATATATATTTTTTGAATTTTTTTTTTTTTTTTTTTTTTGCTGTAATTTTTTTATTGATATCTGGTTATCTTGAATTTTTTTTTTTTTTTTTTTTTTGCTGTAATTTTTTTATTGATATCTGGTTATCTTTTTTTTTTTTTTTTTTTTTTGACTTCTGGTAATCTTTTTTCATGTTGCTTGCCATATAAAAGGACTGATCGGCGGCGGTTCGCTAGCGCTTCGGTACTGGAGCGCTAGCACGTTGCCCCCCTGTGTCGCTCACACACTGGGGGATCGCAATAGTGGAACCGGTGCCGGTCACCGGCCAGCACCGTCGCTAGAACTTGGTGTTGCACCGATGGGGAAAAAAATAAAAAATAAAAAATAAAAAAATCTTGGTGTTGACCTGGCCATGGTGGAGTGGGGAGATGAGAGGGAACACCACGAAGACGAAGGAGCCATATCGTAGTTTTTTTTTTTTTTTTTTTTTTTTTTTAGCCAAGGTCAGCTCTGGTGGGGCAATTTGTTTTTGCCCCGGAATCCTATCTGATGGTGGAGGGCGTTTATGAAGACGTGGGGTCGATCAGATGGCAGAGCCTGGGCGCCTCACCATATTGTCAATTGCATGCTATTTTGTGAGAGAGGTGCGATTAGGAGAGAGGTGTGATTAGGAGCGTAGGGGGTGGCCGCTAGTGATTGATCGACGAACGGAGGATAGGATGAGTTAAAATTCTTAAACCACAAGTACTTGGCCCAGCTATCGGCCGCGGAAAAAAATAGAGTAGAAACGTTTCTAGTCCGATCGGATGAATTTGGGCGCTCTTATAGTAGCCCGTACATTTCCTAAAATTGTGGTGTGTTAACGGGCACGACTCTAGGAAGTACTGGTGGTTTAAGATTATTTACATGTTCATGATTAGAATAACCCACATGGGCAGGATGTTAGTGATTAATAATGTTCCCGCAGGTCCCCTAGCGGTTTATATTTGCCCTTTTGCCCCCCAAAAAGAAGTCCAGCGCAGCGACTTCCCTAAAAACGATACATTCCTACCCTCGTACTTATGCAGGAATGATTCAGAAAAATAAAAATCAAATGTTATAGCAAGAATGCACTAATGGTAATGTGGTTAATAAGTGGTGTCATTTTCGGCGAATTTTATCCGTTACAGAGCTAGACGCCCAAGCGGCAGCCCTATCCTTTATTATTATTATTATGATTTTTTTTTAATTTAAAAGCCCAGGTTGAGATGGCTGCTGAGATTAAACCACCAGTACCTGTCCCTGCTTGCGAAAAACAAATATGCGGCTCATTTACGGCAGCAACATTTGGGGGTCGGGTTACCGGAGCAAAATGGCTGGCCGCGTCAGCCAAAATGAGGCTCGTGCCAGTTCATTTCTCTTTGGCACAGGGGCCGTTTTCAGGCCCGGCTTCGATAGCTGGGCAAGGCACTGGTGGTTTAATATTTGATCCTGAGGTAGCATGGCCCCCAAATAACGAAGTGGAAGATTATCTCCGGAGGTTTCCAGGAAGAAATGTTCATCGACTTCTTGGGTGGGAGGATATATTGTGGACCCTTCCCCCCGGCGGACACGTGGCAGACAAGGAGTGGTGGCAACCAGTATCATCTAACGAACTCACTGCAAGAGCTAATGCCAGACGAGATTTACACAAGGATTGTCTGTATCAAACACACGGAGAAATCTTCCATTGCAAATCAGGACCGTCCGTCGTAGATGGTAAGAAGTGATCGGACGGCCTTTGTTTGGCAATAGTAGGCTGACTGCCAAATGTTTTAGGCAGCCCTTCCCTATCGCACCCAGCCCATGGAAAGGCTGAGTGTTAAGAGTGTTAAGAAGAGATTAAGGGTCTGATCCGACTTCTTACAGGAACGTCACTTTTCGGCAAAATTTGGGATTCCACTTCTTTCCACGGAAGTAGGATCCCGCCCCTGAATGTCGGGGATGTGGAAACGGTCTCCTACGTGTAGGCACGACCGCGATCGCAGGGTCGGGGATGTGGAAACGGTCTCCTACGTGTAGGCACGACCGTGATCGCAGGGGCGGTAATTCTTTTGGTTTTCGGGAGAGGTCGAAACCCTCTTCTGTAGCGAAAAAGAAGACACCAATTCTTTTTTTTTTTATTTTTATTTTTTTTAATTTTTATTTTTATCATCGGTCCAAACGGTAGTCCAGGAATGTCCGCCTTTGGTGGACAGTGTGTGACGGCCGGCAGGGTACAGTAACCACGCGGTGTCCGAACAGACAACACGAAAACCGACCCCGAACACCCGCCCACAACAACCCGCCGCTTTCCTCGAAAAAGCACCTCAAACACCCACGCAAGTAGGATTCCATTTTACTTGTACGTCCCTTGCGGACCGGCTCCGCTGAAAGTGGTTCTTTTGGGTTCTTACGAAAAACGGTAGAAGTCGGATCAGGCCCTAAGACTCTTAGCAAATCTTTTTCACTTTGATCTTGTTAGATATCCTACTTTTTTGGCATATGCATGTAGGAATGGAGGAAATTCTGGCAGACTATATTCACCATAGTAACACCCAGGAAAAAAAAAAAAAAAAAAAAGCTATAAAAAAAAGGGGATATTTGGCACAGTAAGGAAAGTAAATGAAAGACAAACTTGAAGAATGAGC